GTGCGTTGAAATGAGATTCAGGTTTATTTTATTACACCTCCCTCATATTCATGTTGTAGTCAGATATGGAATCTGATTAGAATATTAGTTAGCGTATCTGATCAGAGTATCTGGAACCTGATTAGGATAAGGGTATTAGCCTCACCATGGAAAAGCTCTTAACTGCTTATTGGCATAAAATGCTGCTGGTACCAGAGCCAACCAGTGTAATGTATAGTAACTTTTGCTGAGATAAAGCCATGGGCCCTGATGGGAAGCACCCACAAGTGCTGAGGGAGCTGGCAGATGTCATTGCAAGGCCACTGTCAATAATCTTTGTTCAGTCATGGTGGCTATGAGAAGGACCCGAAGACTGGAGGAAAGAAAATGTCATTTCTGACCTCAAGACAGGCAAGAAGGAGGAGCCAGAGAACTGGAAGCTTGTCACCCTCATCTGAATCCCTAGGACGGTGATGGAGCAGCTCATCCTGGAAACCATTTCCAGGCACATGAAGGACAAGAAATTCCTCAGGAGTAGTCAGCATGGCTTCACCAAGAGGAAGTCATGCTTGACCAACCTGGCAATGAACTGATGTGTCCGGTAAGGGAGGGAGAACAGTGGTTAGTGTCTACTGGGCCTTCAGTGAGGCTGCTGACACCATCTCCCATAACACCCTCATCCCCTCAAGCTGTTGCTGTAGGGGCTGGATGAGCAGACATGAGGTGGGTTGAAAACTGCCTGAATAGTTGGGCCCCAAGGATGGTGATTGGTGGCACAAAGTCTAGTTGGTGGCACAAAGTCTAGTTGGAGACTGGTAAGTAGTGGTAGACCCCAGAAGTCCACCACTGGTCCAGTCCTGTTTAATATCTTTGTTAGTGATCTGCAAGATGGGGCAGCAAGTTTGCCAGTGACACAAAGCTGGAAGGAGAGGCTCATAGGTCACCTTGACCAGCTGGAGAAATGGGCTGATAGAAACCTCAGGAAGTTCAACGAAGAGAAGTGCAAAGTCCTGCAGCTGGTGAGGAACAACCCCACACATCAGTATATGCTGGGGGCACCAGCTGGAAAGCAGCTTTGCAGAAAAGGGCCTGGAGGTTCTTCTAGACACCAAGTTGGACACGAGCCAGCAATGTGCGTTTGTGGCAAAGGCGGCTATGAGTATCCTGGTCTGCATTGGGCAAAGTATTGCCAGCAGGCTGAGGGAGGTGATCCTTCCCCTCTACCCAGCACTGGTGAGTCTGCACCTGGAGTGCTGGGTCCAGTTCTGGGCTCTTCACTACAAGAGAGACATGGACATACTGGAGAGAGTCCAGTGAGGGGCCATGAAGATGATGAAGGGACTGCAGCATGTCTACTGTGAGGAAAGGCTGAGAGAGCTGGGACTGGTCAGCCTGGAGAAGGCTCAGGGGGATCTCATTAATATGTGTAAATACCTGAAGGGAGGGTGCAAAGAAGAGGGAGCCAGGCTCTTTCCGGTGGTACCCAGTGACAGGACCAGAGGCAGTGGGCATAAATTGAAACACAGGAGGTTCCCTATGAGCAGAAGGAAACCCTTTTTTACTGTGAGGGTGACTAAGCACTGGCACAGGTTGCCCGGGGGAGGCTGTGGAGTCTGCATCCTTGGAGATACTCAAAAGCTGTCTGGACATGGTCCTGGTAAACTAGTTCTAGGTGTCTGTGGTTGATCAAGGAGGTTGGACCAGATGACCTCCAGAGGTTCTTTCCAATCTCAATCATTCTGTGATTCTGTGGCAAGTTAATATTTAATGATTATTATACTGAGTCTGGAATTCACTCTGGAAATATTAGACCTGATAAACCTATTTCTGCCCCCAACTCTGCATACTTAGGTTCCTTCTCAGGAGAAAAACCCCAGTATTTTGGAAAAACTACTAGCAGCAGTGCTGCTCCTGTTGCCAGACTTAGGGCTTGTGACTGACACCAATGCATCACTCTGTCATTCCACTGGTGTCACTGGGTGTAGGTACTGCCCTGTGTAGCTGAGGTACCATTTCACCTCCTCCAAAAGAGAGTACTTATTTTCTTCAGTCTTTAGAACTGGATGCTCCCTCTAACCTCCTTACCAAAAAGCAGCACTGTTTGTGCAGACTTGGAAAAATGTGAGGTGATACAGAAGAGCACATTCCTTCTCATTTTTCCTTGGCTCTTGGACTGTGCCATTTAAAAGCACTCTGCATAAAATGCAGTGTGTTACTGCTCTCCCAAAACACTGTTGATTGAGCTCTGTTCAAAACTGGCATAGGTTGATCTATCCTATTTCATACTTACTTATTTTTGGCAGCCCAAGCAGAATGAGCTGGCTGCCCATTTTTCTTCTAAAAACATTATTTTGTTACGTCCAGATAATCTGAATAATAAGAAACAGCCAGTTAACACATACTGCTAAGGCTAATGGGAGTCTTTTTGGCACTCATAGGTTGGAATAACAAAACCGGTCAGTACAGAGGGAAGCAAAGTACTTGGAAGACCAGAAGGCTGAGAATAGCACAACCCTGACAATATGTGCAAAATTTAGGACCTCCTCCTGTTCCCACTGCAACAATGCTAAAAATTCCCTGAGCTTTTGAAAGAATTTCTAATAACTTCTGTGCAATCCATTTTTTACCTCTGTAGATGTTCCAGCACAGAAGCAGGGTCATGAAATGAATACAACTTCTGTGCTGCTCAGTAAAAATAATGGCACCACAAGGAAAATGTTCCTTTTGCCTGACTAATCCCTCTCCCACCAAATAACTGGCTATAATTTCATTAATGACTTCAGACTGCTTCATTTCCTGGAGAGCTAATGGCAGGCTTGATGCTAAGACAGCTTTGCCTTGGGCTGTGGTCATTATCCTCTAGGAAGCTATCTACGTCTTAGCCACAGTTACTTAATTTGAACTTACTACACATCTGTGCATTTGTTATTACTTCTTGCTCCACGCTTCTTGGTGTTCTCCAACCTCTGTCTGGTTTTGGTAGCAACAAGGCTGAAGCCCACCTTTTCTAGCTGCTGATAATGACGGAGGAAGTAGGAGCAGGGCTCAATAGTTAAGGAAAGTCTTTCTTCTATTCCTGTTTACTTAAATAATGATGGGTCATTAATGCTTGCCAGCCTCTCCTATAAATACAGACACGTTTACTAGTTTCTTTTAAAGGACACCTTTTGCATTGCAAATATTGCACTGGATTAGGTTTGGGGGAATAAATTTCCTGAATTACCCATGCATGGAATTTGAGAGCATTTGACATGTCAAGGATAGAGTCACCACCTTGTGGAACCCACAGATAAAAACCCCTGTGTTTTTGCATACAGGCGCCAGAGTCAAGGAGTAATCCAGAGGGGAACTTGGCATTTGAGTCCCAAAATGCTCTTGGTTACCTCCGTTAAAGAAAGTTGTAATGAAGTTCCATGATCTCTTTTGCAAGTTTACTTCAAAAGCTGCCCAGTTGCATTTGAAGAGTCTATATGCAAGGGGAAGTGACAGCTTTAGCCAAGAAAGCTGTAACTTGGGTCATCTGCCAGCAGCATGACTTTACCCCTTCTAATTCTTGATTCTACTTTGGTGTTGAGAAAACAAATACTGTTGTTGTTTGGGTGTGGGTGTTTTAATACTAGAACGAGCAGCAGAGCCGTATGAAACATTGGCTTGATTAGTTCAGCTTTGCAAACTTTTTAACACATACCAAGCCATATTTAGAAGATGACAGTAGTTAAAAGCAGGGTCAAACCACTGAAGCAATGTAAGTGATCATTCCAGTGAGGTAGAACAATGAAAAGGCCTTCAGAAAGGGTTGACTTTTCCATGTTTATGCCATTTCATTCCTTTCTGCAGAGGGATTTCAAACCTGTCAGTGGCCATTCCTATACTGTCAAAGTAACAATGGTACCAAAAAAAAAAAATGGAATAGTGTTAAAACCAGTTTAATTATTTTTCCTTTTTAGCTGTATAAAAGACATTGTTTTGACCTAAATCATAGCATGCCAGATGTTATCACAATAATGTGCAGAAATTATTTGGTAATAACTCCTTGAGGAAAACCAAACCCCATTGACCCAGTGCCTCCAAATCTATTTTAAGATGGTAGAACACTGCAGTTCAAATGTTTGGAAATGGGTAATAAACTCTCTGCTGTTCAGTTACAGACATCTTTTACAGCATGTCAAGTAGAAGTGTCTTGAATTCCTCAGGACGCGTCAGGGTCTGGGAAACACTGATTTATTCCATGTCCATTTTAGCAGAGGAGGAAACTTGGAAACCCAAAGAGAAGAGAACTGAAGCTTTTTGCCCATGATCCCTTCGTTATATAGCAACCAGAGTTACCCAGTGTTACACCCAAAGGTTGTGGTGGGAGCTGCAGATTCTCAGCACTGTTTTGTAAAGCAGCTGTACTTTCCATAGAGATGGAGATTGAAGAATTAAACCAGGCAAAATCACAGCACATTTCTGCAAACTTGAATTGCATGGAATAGCAAATGACCATCTCTAAGGTTACAGTGCTGTGCTTTCATTACATGGTTATTTGTCCTCCCCTTAGCACTATGCACCCTTTTGCAGGCAGGGAAAATAAGTTCTGTTACAAACTCAAGGGAATGAATTCGTGGACACATGCAGGCAGATTACACAAAGAAGCAGGAAATTCTTGTAGGTTCTCCCGTTCTGAAACTGTTTTCAAAGTCATTCTTGGTGTCAACTTTAAATACCTGTTTTTCTCTCTCAAGTTACTCGGGTACTATCGGTTTACTTTAGTGACAGATCACTGGAAAGCTCGCTTTCCTTCTGCACAAAAGCAGCGAAGACTGTTTTGCGAGTTCCTAATTTCGCCGTTACTGTATCCGCACCGCTCAGTGATCCAAAAACCCTCCCACCAGGATAAGGGAAGGCTGTATTTCCCCAGCTGGAGCACAGAGCTTTCGGCACCGGCTCTCTGATTTGTCGTCCGGGCTCCGGAGGGGGCACGGTGTGGTCAGCTCGGGAGCACGGTAACAAAAGGCGAAAGCGGAGCGGGAAGGAGCTGGGAGAACGGGAGCGCGGGTGGCAGCCGGGGGGGGCTCATGAGCGCTGGCGGCGGGTGAGCCCCGGGGAGCCCATGGGCGGCCGGGCGAGCCTGGCGAGCCGCGGCACCGAGACCCGGTCCCGGCCCCGGCCCCGCCGCCGCTCGGCGCAAGGAGGAGCCGAGACCATGATTCAGGTACGCGGGATGCGCTGCCCCGGCCCCGGCGCGGAGGGGGGAGGCGGGGCGGGCGTCGGCTACCTCTGAATAGGCGCCTAAATCGCTTGTTTTGGGGGTAGTTATGGAAATAGAGCGGCCAAAAATAGGGGTGGGTTGCTAATCCTGAAGTACACATGTTAACTTTTCACGGGTAGGAAAGTTTTAGATCAACTTACGGTTTTAAACCCATCCGGTCCCAGTGATGGGTTCCCCTCGAGTTCATGACTGTGGACGGGTATGAAAGGTTTTGATCAGCTTATGGTTTTAAACCCATTTGGTCTCAGTGATTTGGTCTTTGAGTTTATGGCTGTGGCCAAAACCAGGGGAATTGCCAAAATAGCAGCCTCTCGGCGGAGCTGCAAACAGGAGGTACCACAAACCTTTCCAGAGCATTGTCAGAGTCTCTCAGCTCCATGCAACTCATTCCAGAGGCTCATTCAAGCATCTCTGTTTCTGGTTTGCTAAGCAAACCTCTGGACCTTTGAAGTTTCATGCTCTTCCTTCTGCGTTACCTCTGAAAGTTTGGTTCAACACTGGATTAAATTCATTTTAAGCATATGTGTAAATGTTTTTGCTGACTTGGGTTCAGCACACTCTAGCAGTCTCCCTCTCCTTTTGCATGCTTAACTGAGCAATCGCTTTCATTTCAAATCCCTTCTGAAAACATACCAGTTCTGATGAAACCTTTTAGGATTAGTTTCCCAGAAATTCATACAGAATATACCACACAAGTGGTAAACATGCACTAAATAATCTGTACTGGTTTCAAGCTCCCCTTGAGCATCTCATCGGCACTCTGTCTTTGGGACAATCTCCATCACTCTTGTGTCTAACATTTCAAACCACAAAGCTGCCAAGGAAATAGCAGAGTGTATGTGTTGGTGCCAGAATTGCTCTCTTCTGAGGTGTAAAATGGCCAGCGTTCAGTTGTAGACAAGTGGCTCATTTAAAGGGCTGAAATATTTTGCCTTCTCTCAGAATTAAAAGAAGGAGCTTTATTCCATTTGAAAGCATATACAATGATCTCCAGTGATCTCTTGCCAAAGAAACATTAGCCTGTGACCTTATGCACTGTATTAAACCTGAAAATCATAATGTTACGTTGGAAAGAAAAATTACTGTAGCAAACTCCTTCCCCCCTGCCCTCCCCAGATTGATAAGGACGAATTTTCTACTAACTCTTAGATCAAGGACCAGGAGTCTGATTTTAGACTGTTAATGGGGCACGTTTTACTAGAGGGAAGGTTACTAACTGGTTATTGCACACCGACTCAGTTGGTGCCTGGTAACCCCAATTTTATTGGATGCTCTTGAAACACATTAAGAACATATTCCAAGAGCCATGCTTGTTTTCTTTTTTGTGCTAGTTACACATCACTAGTTTTGTGTTATATTACAAGGACTTAGTTAAGATGGGTAACCCTATTGCTCCAAAACAGCATCCTGCTGTTGTGTTACCTGTTCCCCATGGCAGCTTTGCCCCACCACACTTTGGTTCCTGTTGTTCTTTGGGGCTGCTAATTGAGAGTCTGCTTCTCAGAGGGCTCTCCAGCTAACTGATGTTATTAATATTGCTTAGAAGTAACTCCTTTTAAACTAGATTTTACAACCATGTTTCTTCATGAGTCTTCCTTTCCTTGTTAAGATATACTGAAGGGTCAAGAAAACCTGAGCATTAAACCCAGGGGCAAGAGAACAAACTAAATAATGTTAACCTCCTCTCTCTGTGACACTTAAAAGAACTGGGAGAGGCTAATACCAAGCAACAAGATAAAGAAATCCGGTGGTTTCCTTAGCAGCAGTCCATGTCAATTTAACAGGGACTGCTGTGGCTAAGCAGAGCTTCACCACCCTCATACCAAGTTCCATGAAATGGATGGTTTGCATTCTTCTATTATTATATATTAGTATAAATCAAGAGTTTCTTCTCTGAAACCAATTGCATTTAATCAGTTTTAAATTAGTGTGAGTGATGAGGGAAGCTGGGCCAGTAATTCTCAAAATATTGGTTATAAAATGAGTTCAAATGATGGAGTAGTCTACAAAAGCTGGCATAGGCTCCAATTTATGCTGCTATTAGGGAACAGAAAACATGTGGGCAGGATGTATTAACATCAGTGCCTTTATTTTACATCTGGAACATGAAAAAGGAGTCAATTGGCAACAGCTTAAAATGTGAGCTTTCTCTATTGTTGAATTTCTATTGATCTTTCTCCTCCAGCAGGAAGATACATAATTATACAATACACCATCTGAATTGCTACCACTGGGGGGTTGAAATGGTTGTAATATTAGACATTCTGTCTCAGAATATGGCAAAAGGTCTTAATATAAAGTTGAGGGTAAAATAGCATAAATTTGATGCTAGGAAGGTGTTTTAAAGACTGAGGGGATTTGTTTGTTTTGCATTTTCAAGGGAGAGGTATATTTTTCTAGTAGGGTTACACTAGACAAGTAAGTATTTTTCTCTTGGAATCAATGGAATTAGGCTAACTGAAAATTGGCACATAGTTGACATTATGTTTCTTGGTTAGGCCTCATCCTTGGGTGGTTTATCAGCTTTCTGTGAGGGGCTGCTGTGGTAGTGACTACTGAATTTGCTGTTCAGCGTAGACTGGATCAGGACTGAATGCAAGCACCAGCTCTGGCTCAGTTGCTGTAGGTGAACCTTCCTGAGCAGATCCCAGCGTTACCTGAAAACTCATTGTCTCAATCTTTACTTTTTACCCACTTCTTTAAATTTCGTTTTTCTTTGTGTATAATATTGTAAGGGAGAAGAAAAAAAGTTTGTACCAGTCCTGCTGTCTTACATCAGCAAGAACCAATAGTGGAAACTGAAACGCAAAGTGAAGTAAATCAAGTAACTTTTTCAGACTTGCTCAGTGAATACATAACAGACTTCAGGTCTGAGCCTCATTGAAATGCTTGTCCACTGAAGCATATTACTTTTGGAGTAATGAGTTGTCACTTGTGCAAAGCAAGGAAAAGGGACAGTCCAGTGGATCTCTGTACTGTCTTCTCCATACAGTAGGCTTCTGTGTTATATCTTGGTATCTCTGACTGGGTGAGTGTGCAAATGTGAGGATGCTACGCTACATCAGAGGGTAATCACCAGTATCACTCAGTCCATAATCTCCCTACAGGAATATTCTGGCTTCTGCTACTGATGATTTATTTGTACAGATGGAAAGAATTGGAAGCAAAATATTTCTTCCAGGAAGAAAGATTTTACAGGGGGTTTGGATTGAATACTAAGCAAATAACAGCACTGGCCCAAAATGCCCACAAGTTCAGAAGTCTTTAGCATCATTTCCTTGTATTGTGTTATAAAACAGAGAAGTCAGAATAAAACAACAAGAATCTTTAATAATTTAATATATCTTTTTGCCAGTGCAGGCCAAGGTGATGGCAACCATGGAAGACCCAGCCTGGGGCACTGTTAGTCAAACTGTGTTCAAGAAGCTGATGAATGCTCCATCCCTGGCAGTGTTCAAGCCAGGATGGACAGAGCCTTGGGCAACATGGTCTAGTGTAAGGCGTCCCTGCCCATGGCAGGGGGGTTGGAACTGGATGATCTTAAGGTCCTTTCCAACCCAAACCATTCTGTGATTCTGTATGTCTCTATGAATCTTGTAGGCCAATCACCCTTTTGTTAATACATGTGTCCTTTCATGTAATGAATGCATTCTGGGTGAAAGCTGCATAATGTTTATTATTGTATGTAGATGGGAAATCCCTTTGACTATGCATTCTTGTTCCCACTCCATTACTATTACTTAACCAGTCAGGTTAATTCATGTGATGATAGCCCTGTTGCTAACGTTATTTAGTATATGAGTATCTTGGGGAAGCCAGCTTACTAAAGACTGCACATTATGCAACTGGCGCTCTTTTTACGGTCTTCAGTACAATGTCTGGTTCCTTCATTGCAAGTTGTCATGTTTTTAATAACCAAGGAAAGGAAAAAACCTTTCAAAAACCTCAAGCAATTGTAGCTACCGTGTCAGTTAGGTTTCCAGGGGATCTCGGGCAGGTGAAACACACTGGAACATAATGGCTGTTACTGGAAAGAATTGCATTTCACCTTGGTATCCTGCCTTCTGTCTGACAGCTGTGACATGTCCTGTGGAAAACAGGCTGGATTAAAGTGGTTTTCAACAAGTTGGAAGTAAAGATACTTTTTTTCTCTGAAAGATAAAGGCAGCCTCAAGTTATAATAAAAATAATTCCCGAGAGGAACTGAGAAGCAAGGAAGGATTTAGAACCCTTTTTTGCCTTCCAGAAGAATATTAAGGGTATAGGAGGAATGTGAAAGGTTCCCAAATGGCTCAGTTACAGCCCTCAAGTGATGTCTGGAAAGATGAACAACTTTCCCATGAAACTTAAAATAGAAAAACGTCTTCTTTTTTTTTTATAGTTTGTGGGTTACTTTGAGCATTGCTTTTGCTTTGTAATTTCAGAATTGTTTCTTCCTACTGACTATGAATGGCAAATTGTATCATTATAAAGGAAAAATCACTGTTGGTTCTGGTTTTTAATCTAAATAGGGAAGTTTCTTGGATCTTGGATGGTCTTTAGTTGTCCAGAAAACTGATAGAATGAACGTCTCGGATAACACTGAGGGAGAAATGAATGTGTTGTCTGTAAGTAGGTACAATCTGCTTCAAATCTAGCTGGTTACAAGCAAGGAGGTTGAATAGTTTCAGTCACCCTGCCATTCCATAAAGCCATTTCTTTGCACAGATGGTTCAGATCACAATTCCATCCCTGATACACATTGTTTAATCATCCAAACCAACGATTAAATTGTCAAAATTGTTATTCAAAACATGTGAGTTCTTTTATGATATGTGGAATGAGAATCATACTCCCTTTCCTACATCTCCTTCATTCTAGCTGGTCCTTCCTTCTGACCCTGGGGCCTGATGTAGGTCCCATGGCTTCCCAACAGCAGAGAGAGCTCCTCCTCGTGTAACACA